GAGGAGGGGAAAGAGGGAAATGAGGAGGAGTGTGAAGGTAGCTTTCGTTCGGATGTCGGCTCTTCCCTCTCAGGTGCTACGTGGCGAGCAAATGCTGCGAGCCGTGGGCGGACTTCTCTTTTCTGTTGTTTCACGCCGATCCCTTTTCACCTTTACGCCTGCCAGGTATCATCAGTTGCGCACCAGTCGGCATTGCAACTCTTGCACTACGCCAGAGTCGGCATTGCAACGCTTCGCTATTTTCCCACAAGCGTATGCTTGGCCAGCGTCAACAAGGAGGAGGAGGAGGCGGAGGAGGAGGAGGAGGACGAGGAAGAGGACGAGGATGAGGAGGAGAAGGAGGAGGAGGAGGACGACGACGAGGAGGAGGAGGAGGAGGAGAGAGGGCAACAGGAGGAGGCTGGGGCAGGGGGACTGCGCCCCGGCGGCAGCGCGCACCTCGCCCAGCGCCTGGGTGGCCGCCGCCCGCACCTCGAAGTAGCCGTGGCACGCGGCCCCGGCCAGGCCGGCCACGGCCCTCCCTGGGGCGCCTGCGGGGCGGGAGCGCCAGACCTGGCCTGGGAGAGGGGCCAGTCCTCCTCCTCCTCCTCCTCCTCCTCCTCCTCCTCCTCTCCTCCTCCTCCTCCTCCTCCTCCTCCTCCTCCTCCTCCTCCTCCTCCTCCTCCCTCCTCCTCCTCCTCCTCTCCTCCTCCTCGCCCCGGGGGTCGCGTGCTCCATCCCCAGACATGACCGCGTCGAAAAAAAAAAATCAGGACGGCAAGGAGTCCAATGGTTTCGGCCCCTGGGGGCCCTCGCCGGGCCTCGGGGCCGTCAAGAAACGGCTCGGGACGAAAAGCCGGTCCTGGGGAAAGGGTCGGGACTTCCAGGGGCGCCGTCCTGAAAAACTTGGGACGTCGCATGTCTGGGTCACAAATCGTACAGTACCGCTCCAGGCACCCCCCCGAGGAGAAGAAAGAGGACCGGAATAATCGAGGAGGGAGGGGGCCACAGAGCCGCGAAGAGCACAGCATCCGGAGCCCCCCGGATCGGCGGCACTGGCCGGAGGCCATTACAGTATCAAAGCTGCTGCGGTTCCAAAGCTCGTGGCTGGATTTCTGCCGAGGACGACCGGTCCGCCCTCTGGGTGAAGTGTCTGGCTCGGCCTGGAGAGGCCGCTCCCGGGGCCCTCAAGGAGGCCCCCCCTCGGACGGTGCCGGGGGCTCTCTTCGGGGAGTCGTCAGGCAAGCTCTTGCGGGAGGTGATCCTCCGTCCTCCAGCCTCAGAGTTGGCTCAAGATGACTTCTGCCCATATCGTGTGCTCCAATCGCAAATCTTAAAGCTGCTGCGGTTCAAAAACTCGTAGCTGGATTTCTGCCGAGGACGACCGGTCCGCCCTCTGGGTGGGTGTCTGGGTCGGCCCGGGGAGGCCCCTCCCGGGGCTCTCGGAGGCACCCGCTCGGACTGTGCCGGAGGCTCTCTTTGGGGAGTCGTCGGGCAAGTTCTTGCGGGAGGTGAGCCTCCATCCTCCATCCTCCTGCGTCCCGTCCCCATTTTTCCCTCCGTAGCCATATTTGGGCTCAAGATGACACTTGCCCCTGGCAGAGCACGGATACCGCCAGTCCGCGGCCAGGTCTCGTTTCTTTGTGAGCCCCTGCAAAAGCACAGGTCTCACCTTTCTCGCACCGGCCAGCGTGCTGGCGGGTATGCCGAGGTGGTGCCGCTCCCTGCTAGCTCGGACGGGCTGGCATTACGCACCGTGGGTCGAACTTCCTCGAGGCCAGGGAGCAGGTCGTGGCAAGAAGGCCCAAGACCGCTCCGACAGTGGGTGCTCGCCGTGCGGGCACCGAGAAGACGACTACCACCAGCATGCCGCCTGCTCCAAAAGTTCGTCGCCACATCTATAGCGCCCTGGCGGTGATGAGCGTGATGCTGATGATGGTCGTGGCAACGGCCGCGGCAAAGCCGAAAAAGGTCGTGACCAAGGAGACCTGCAGTCCCTCGAAGCTGAGCTTGAACGGCTCGCGGCCCTGCTTCCAGATCGTGCTGATGCCGTTCGTGGTCCTCGTGGCACTCCTGCTGCGCTCGCTGAAGCACCTGCGGCATCCACTGACAATGACCTCGAGACGAAGATCGCCAGGCAGCGCACGTCCCTCGCCCTGGCGGTCCAGCGCGACTCCAAGGCTGAACGTCTTGCGGTGTACGAGGCGGCAACTGTGGCTCGCCACGAAGAGGCCGTAGCAAAGGCCGAGGCCCACGCCGAAGCTGTCGGACCTCTTGAACAGGCTGCTGCTGCTCACCGTGCCGCCTATGATCAGATGGACCAACCTGGCCATGACGAGTCTCGTCGGCAGCTTCTGGAAGACTGAGTGGGGCCCAGGGACACACACATAAATACACACACGAATCCCAGAATCCCACATATTCTCCAATATTTTCGGGAGTCTCGTCTTCCCACCCGCTTCCCATATCTTCCAATCTGTTCCTGGGAATCGACAACTAATATTGTGTCTGTGTGTTTCTGCCCCTCCTGCAAGACACGCGGCAGGCGCGAAGCTGCCGCGTCGGCAGCTCGCGCCCAAGCTTTGAGCAGGGACCGACCGTCCCGGCATTCCTATAGTCCTACCACGAAATGTTCTTAGAACCCACAGATGTTCTAAGAACAAAACCAGTGTTCTTAGAACCTGAACTCGATGTGATAAGACAAGACAGGCCCAACCAGAAGTGTTCTAAGAACATCTCGTGGGAAGCACCAAAGGTTCTTAGAACATTGCTTGGCGGGGCTATAGGCGAGCCAGGACGCCTCGCCACTGCTTGAAAGCTCCCCCCCGGAAGGGTGCCGGCGCCGGCGGAGGTGCCCCCTCGACCCGGTGCCGCCTCGCGCCCGCCCCCGGGCGGTGCCGGTGCGGGCCCGGCCCGCCCAGGCAAGGCCGGCGGGCACGGCGGCAAGGAGCCTGTTTTTTTGGATTCAGGCAAGTTTACTTGCATGGCGTTCGCCCCCCCCCCCCCCCCTCGCCCCTCTTCAAGCGAATACTAGCGTGCAAGTGCCTTTCGACTTGCGTGATTTCCGCGCCCCCCCGAACGTGCAAGTCGTTTGCGGCTTGCTTCAGGCTCAGCCACCCCCCCCGTCCATGCAAGTAAACTTGCCAGAGTCTAAAAAAAACAGGCTCCAAGACGGTGCGGTGCGCCACAGCGAGGACTACAGGCAGGACTGATTGGAGCGAGGACTACAGCGAGGACTACACAAGACCCCTCCGAGGGCCAGAGTGCCATGGGGATGTAAGAGAAGGCGTGGGTCGCGGAGCTCGGGGCACGAGGGCAGCCTCGATTTGGCGGGGTCGGCCTACTAGTTCATCAGTCTCGACTGTGGCACTCATGCCGCCGAATCTGGCTGCATGCCATGGACGAGCCACCACATCGGCAGCGGTGGATCCGACACAGCCAGAGGTTCGAGATCTCAGGCAGCAGACCAAAGAGTTCGTGCCCGCATGGATGAGGATGGTGTGTCTGGCGCTCCTAGTGTTATTGGCAACGAGCAGTTACATCGGCAACAAATACGACGCACTCAAGAAGCGCAGCATCGACACGGCAATGTCCAGAGTCGAGCTCGAGCGCATGGAGGAGCTCGTGCAGAAGCAGTCTCACGTCAAGGCCGCCAAGCGGCCCAAAACTGTTCGAGAAGGTGCTGCTGCTTCGTTCGGACGAGTCTTCCAACAACTTCTCCCTGCACACGTCTACCCCAAGCCCCCGCAAGTGGATGACCCGCTGCTGCAGCCCCATCCGCGCCGCATGGCGGCGCCGCTGGAGCTGGAGGCGAGGCGGCCGCTGCGCCTGCCGCGGGGCAAGGGCCGCGCGTTCAGCCCTCAGCTTTCTCAGCACCGCTTTGGCGATGCAAGTTCACTTCACGTCTTGGAGCGAGGTGGCTTTGGCTTTCCGTCAGGAGAGCACGTCACTGGCCGAGGGACTCCTCGCTACTGCAACACGTTTGGAACCTGACGGGGTCAAGACGGCCAAAATCGGGGATGAACAGACCCCCCTTTAGTAAAACGTGGTTTAGTGAAAACGACCTGAGGCCCAAACCTGGCGGGCGCAAGCCTGGAAAATAACGGCCACGGCGCCATCTCGAGAACCGAAAACGGACAATTCACTAATCGACGTGTCACTGTTGGGGTTTCTGTCCACCCCCGACAAAAGCGTAATGCAGCGCAAAGCGGCTGGAAGCCGCACTGGTTGCCCGCCCTTTCCCTTCCCCGGGCAGGGGGCGCCCACGGCGAAGCCGGGGCCGCGGTTTCCAAAGGTTACCAGCCTGGAACATATCCCCATCCCTGTGCTGGGCATCTCCTCATCACGATGCCAATCTTAGGGATCCCCTTAGCTTTTCAGGGCGAATCCCTGAGAATGTCATCGCCTTTTGGCGTGTCAATCTTAGGGATAGGGATCAGTTCGAGGCTGGTATAAAAGGGCCTCCGTTGCAGGAGATGTCTGGCCTCCAGGACGTGGGCTCTGGCCTCCCCCGCGAGACTGCTCCAGAGGCCCCCGAGGCATCTCCAAGGCAGCCCAAGAGAGCTCCAAGACTGCCCAAGTCGCGCCCATGAGGGCTCCAAGACTGCCCAAGTCGCGCCCAAGAGGCCCCCAAGAGGGCTCCAAGACTGCCCAAGTCGCGCCCAAGAGGACCCCGAGTCGGGCCGAGAAGGGCCCAGGAGTGGGAGCACGACCCAAGAGTTCCAGCCTTCTGCCCCGAGAGGCTCCCAGCCCGCTTGCCTTCTCGACTGGCTGCCACCCAGAGTGCTGAGCTGGCACGGTGGCGGAATGGCAGGCAGAAGGCAACTGGATAATTAAGCCCCGGGACGCCTCACAGATACCAATCCGACCAATTCTTCGAGCTGCGTCCAGCCGCGGCTAATTACGAGACCTCGGGAGGCCTCAAAAAGAGACAGTGGGGTGCAGAATTCTCTCCTCGAGCTCCACCTCTTCCTCCTCCTCCTGCTCCGAGGGGAAGGCAGCGAGGAGCCCTTGACACCCTCTCGGACGGGACTCGCGCACGCGCGCCGAAGAGGAGCGCGGCCGCGCCTGGGTCCGTGACGGCAGCGAGGGCGGCGCAGGCGGCGACGCGGACCTGCCACGCTCCTGGCGGACGCTGGTGCTGGCAGATGCAGCGGACGACGACGACGACGACGACGACGACGACGACGACGACGACGACGACGACGACGACGACGACGACGACGACGAGGACGGCGACCACGACGACTACGACGACGACGACGACGACGACGACGACGACGAGGACGACGACGAGGACGACGAGGACGACGAGGACGACGACGACGACGAGGGCGGCGGCGGCGACGCTCGGAGGCGCGAGCTCGCTCCGATGCCACCGACGAGGACGACGCCGCCGCCGTCGCCGGCGGCGACGCTCGAAGGCGTAGGTCGGGCATGTCCTCCTACAGGCGGATCTTCGAAGAAAAGCAAACAAGAGTCAAACGATTCTCAAAAATAGACAAACTAGTAGGGAAATCGTCCCCAGACTATTTTCTGGCTGCGGCGGCGGCGCGTTGCGCGAGTAATGACTCGAGCGGCAGCGGCGGCGGAGCCTGGGTGAGCCTTCATGGAAGCCTCTGCGTACCTCTGCGGCCCTATCACCAGCGTGATCTCTGGCGGATTTCGTCAAGACTTCGACCGCCCCTCTTCACGCGTTCGTCCCTGTTTCCTCCAAATTTCGTCCAAATGTCCACCAACCCGACGAGGTCCGGACGACATCCGCAAAACTGCAAGGAATGTTAGGAGCCTCTGAGGCTCCCAGGAAGGACTGTGCAGAGGCGACAGCAACGATTGCCCTGATGGGTTTCAGACAGCACGATTACCGAACCACAGGCCCTGCAACGTATCGAAGACATCAAGACGAAACTGTTTCGTGAATTCCAGCGCATTTCAGAAACAATCTGGGGCGAGAAACGTGCCGCCAGGAAAGTGGTCGGGGGACCCCTCATTGATCTGGAGGTACGAAAGGGGTGTGGTGTAAAGGGGCGTGGTGCCACAGCTGGATTCGCGAGGTCAGCTATCGTAGATGGCAGCGCCATTTCCACAAGTGGCACCACACCCCTTTCTGCCACACCCCTTGCCCCAATTGGGAACCCCCAAACCGGGTGGTGAGATACCAGGTGGCGACCTGGAATCCCCAAAAGGTCACCGCTGGGTTTGGGGACACGGGGTCACCACCGGGTTTTGTGACTCCTGGCCCCACCAGTGTTCGGGACATCCTCGGAAAACCGCACGAGTCCCCAAACCGGGTGGTGACACCAAATCGCCCGAGACTCACCGCCAGGTGTTGTCACCACCACGTTTGGGGACTACCGACCCAACCTCCAGAATTGACACAAAAACAAGACATCGGAGGTCCGGGGACGACCCATCTGGCCAGGGAGGCCGCAAGCTCGAAGCGGGCCGCCGGCCTGGGGGAGGCCGAGGGCAAAGGGTGCCAAGAGGCCCGCCCGCGCGGTGAAGCGCACGCCAGGCCTGCCCACGTTGGGGGGGGCAACACCGAGGGAGGCCGGAAGCCTCCTGGGACCAGCGGGGAGCTCGAAGGCCAGCGTGCCAGGACGCCCACCCGCTCGGCGAAGCGCACGCCACGCGTACCCACGCTGGGCGGCAGCATCGAGGGAGGCCCGAAGCCTTTACAGATCGGGGGCGCGCACACATGGATTCGCGATCCACGGACTCGGCGCGCGGTCGCCAAATCCATGGATCGGGAGAGGTGCCCTCCCCAAAATGCGGCCGGTGCCACCTCGTTCGGCGGCGGGCATCCGCGATGTCCCAGGGAAGAGGGGCCCGCCGCTAGTCCACGCCCCTTTGATCCACGTCATCCACGTCTGCGATCGCCGGACGATGCAAGCAGGCCCCCTTGCGTGAGAACGGCCTGGGGACCAGACCCCGCGGGCACAGGCCCGCGGAGAGGGCGGCTGCAGCAACCTCGCTGGAGGAGCCAACGGGGTGCGAGGGAGGGGATGATCCCTAACCGCCGCCTGTGGGATCGACCTTCTTGAGCAGGGGCCGACCGTCCCGGCATTCCTATAGCCCTACCACGAAATGTTCTCAGAACCCAAACATTCTCTAAGAACAAAGACGATGCTCTTAGAACATAAACCCGATGTGTTAAAACAAGACAGACTCCGCCAGAAATGTTCTAAGAACTTTTCGTGGAAACCTCAAAAGGCTCTTAGAACATTGTTTGGTAGGGCTATAGGCGAGCCAGGACGCTTCGCCACTGCTTGATCTTCGGGGGCCCCGGCAGACGGTGGATCTGGCCGAGCGGTCGTTCACTGTCCCGGGGCGGCTGGCGGAAGTGAGGTTCTGCGGTGCGGATTGCTGTTGTATGTTGTTGTTGGTTGTTGGTTGTTGGTTGTTGGTTGTTGGTTGTTGTGTTGTTGGTGGAAATTGTTGTTGGTTGATGTTGTTGTTGATGATGTTGTTGTTTGTCGTCGTTCCCACCGCGCCCCGGCCCGCGCCCTGGGCCGCGACTCACCCGCGACCCACCCGCGACCCACCTGTTCGGGCTCCCTTCTGCTCCAGACGGCCCGAAAGGTATCCACTACTATGGCCCCAAGACTGCCTCCAAATTGCCCAAGAATCCTCCAAGACAACCTCAATGCAGCCCGAGAAAGCCCCTAGACGGCACAGGGCGGCCTTGGAGAGCCCATCGAGGGCATAAATACGGCTCATCGACGACAGCAAGAGACCCCCCAACTCAGACAGTCAAGAGGGCCCCAAGACGGCCCAAAAGAGCCTCAAACCATTGCACGAGGGCCCCAAGAGGGCTGGCCCAAAAAGCCCGAAAGTCCCCCACAACTGCCTGATGCAAGCCCCTGACGGCCCAAAAACCGCCCACATGGGCTTGCGGGAAGCTCCTCAAGAAGAAAAGACGGAAGATGACACCTGTGACGGCTGTCCTGATGCTGCCTCGCTGCATCGTCATCGTCGTCGTCATCGTCATCGTCATCATCATCATCCTCATCCTCATCCTCATCAGCAGCAGAAGCAGCAGCAGCAGCAGCGACATCCGAATCAGCATCAGCATCAGCATCATCAGCATCATCATACGCATCACCACCATCACCATCACCATCACCATCGATACCAACAACAACAACATCATCAGCAGCATCAGCATGACCATCATCATCATCGTCGTCGTCGCCATCCTCATCATCATTATCACCCTCCTCCTCCTCATCATCATCTTCATCATCAGCATCATCACCAGCATCAACATCATAAGCATCACCATCATCAGCATCGTTGTCATGATCGTCACCATCACCATGATCATCCTCCTCCTTCTGCTCCACCTCCCCCGTTCATCATCATCGTCATCAACATCATCATCCTCAGCATCGTCACCGTCGTCATCAGCATCCTGAGCCACGTCACCATCGTCATCAGAATCCTCAGCGCCACCATCACCATCACCATCATCATCAGCATCATGACAGTCACAAGCATCATCACCACCATCAGGATCTTACCAATCCCACTGAGCAGCCAGTCCTCATCCTCATCATTCTAAGATCACCCTCATCATCATCCTCCTCATCATAGTTCATCCTCGTTTCCTCCTCCCCCTCGTCCTCCCCCTCTTCAGAAGCATCCTCATCCTCATCCTCATCCTTCTCCTCATCCTCACCATCATCGCCACTACCACCATCCGCACCATCACCATCACCATCAGTCTCATCATCAGCATCATCACCATCGTTAGTGTACCCATCGTCATGATTCATGATAATGCCCCTCCTCTCATCATCGCCACCGCCATGTTCCCATTATCATACTCCTCGTCATGATACCCCTCGACGGTGCTATTGCATCATATCCTTCGTCATTCTCACCAAATGGCCAGTGTGGGCCCTCTGGGGGGGGGAGCTTGAAGGCATTTTAGAGGCCTCTCAAGGGCGTATTCGAGGCAGTTTGGGAGCCTCTTGGGATCCTCCCGAGGGCCTCCTGGGGGCCTCTTGGGAGCCTTCTGGGGGTCTCTTGGGGGCGGCCTCCTGGGACCTCTTGGGGCCTCCTGGGAGCATCTGGGGCCGAAAGGTCGGAATTTGAAGCTGGTTCCTTACCTCCAGAATCCCCCCCTGGTGCTCGTCCTGGGGCTCTCTTGGGCTGTCTTGGGGCCCTCTCGGGCCGTCTTGGGACCCTCTTGGGGTCGTCTTGGAGTTCTCTTGAGGGGCCATCTTGGGGGCCTCTTGGGCCGTCTTGGACGCCGTGAAAGCCAAACAAGTGTATGTGCGAAACATACACGTTCCGCCAAGGGGACGGAGCAAATGTTGCCTCGTGGGGCGCTCCTGGAAGTCTCCTGGAGGCTCTTGGGGCCCTCTTGGGGACTCATGGGGGCCTCTTGGGGCCTCCTGGGGACTTCTTGGGGCCTCCTGGGGCCGAAAGCTCGGAATTTGAATGTGGTTGTGCACCTCTGGGGCCCCTCTGGGGCTCGTCCTGGGGCTCTCTTGGGCTGTCTTGGGGCCCTCTCGGGCCGTCTTGGGACCCTCTTGGGGTCGTCTTGGGAGCCTGTGGGGCAGTCTTGGGGGCCTCTTGGGCCGTCTTAGACGCTGCGGAATTCAAAGGGAAAGGAATGCGACACATACACGTTCCGCCAAGGGAATGGAGCAAATGTTGCCTCGTGGGGCCCTCCTGGGGGCCTCCTGGAGGCCACTTGGAAGCTCCCTGGGGGTCTCTTGGGGGCCTCTTGGGGCCTATTGGGGGCCTCTTGGGGCCTCCTGGGGACCTCGGGGCCTCCTGGGAGCCTGTGGGGCCGAAAGCTCGGAATTTGAATTTGGTTCGGCACCTCCGGGACCCCTCCAGGGCTCGTCCTGGGGCTCGCTTGGGCTGTCTTGGGGCCTCTCGGGCCATCTTTTGACCCTCTTGGGGTCGTCTTGGGGCCCTCTTGGGAGCCTGTGGGGCAGTCTTGGGGGTGAAAACCAGAAACATATAAATGCGACAAATATACGTTTCTCTGAAGGAATGGAGCGACTTTTGCCTCTTGGGGCCCTCCTGGGGGGCCTCTGGGAGCGTCACAGGAGGCATCTTGAGAGGCCATCTTGGGTTTTCTTGGGGCCTCTTGTTGGGTGTCGTCCATCTTGGCCCCCCCTTTGTGGTAGAGGTCATCCGGGCCCCCGTATCTCTATATGTGTATATATATGTGTATGTATGTATGTATGTATGTATGTATGTATGTATGTATGTATGTATGCATGCATGCATGCATGCATGCATGCATGCATGCATGCATGCATGCATGCATGCATGCATGCATGCATGCATGGATGTATGTATGTATGTATGTATGTATGTATGTATGTATGTATGTATGTATGTATGTATGTATGTATGTATGTATGTGTGTGTGGCAGTTTCTGGTTTGAACATCCGAGGACACAGAGCTGCGGTAATGTTGATCAAGAGGGGGGCCTGACCCATGGAAGCATCCGCCGATAGATCGGCGACGCGCAGGCCCCCGGCAGCAACCCCGCACGCTCCCGGGGGGAGGCGCGCCAGCGGGCCCCATCTCGGCGATGCGTGGGCGATTGGGGGCCGATGCGTCCCGGGACCTCGCATGTCTTGACATTTTGTTGTTTAACTCGAGCCAATCTCCAGCGCGAGTGGGCATGGCAGCGGCAAGATCTGTACGCCACGGAGCAGCTCTCAGAGGCGGTGTGTACCTGCATTGGGCTGCTCAAAGACGAGTGTTGCCAGAGGCCGCCGCCTGAGGCCCCGCCTTCCTGTGCCCTGTCTCCCTAATGAAAGCTGTGCGTAACCCGCCTGACTTTCAGCGGAAGAGGTCCGCTCTCGCCCCCCAGATCAAAAAAAAAGTGTTGCTAGAGGCCGCTTAGGTGGGCCATGCCTTGGCCTTCCCCGATCCCGGCGAGGGGGCCCCGCGAGGGGGCCCCGGACGCAACACACGCTGCGGTCTCTTGAGCACGCTGGCGGTCTGCGTCCGCCCTGGGCCTCGCCCCCCTGCGAGCGTCAGGTCGGGCATGTCCTCCTGCAGGCGGATCTCCTGGAAGAAACGCAACGCGCAGTGAACAGAAAGCGTTCAAACAGAATCGCACTGATCCAAAAGCAATCGCCCCCAGACTACTGTTTCTGACTATTCTTGTACAACAAGAATCACAATGAAACAAATCGCCCCCAGACTATCGTTGCTGATTATTATTGAATACTCCTCCTGTTGAGGGACATGCCCGACTTAACCCCACTACTACCCTCGCCAAAATTAACTTCAAGAATGGCGACCACGCCCCTGCGATGTCGGGGCGCCCTTCAAAATCGATTGACGCCCCTCCAATGTCGGGGCCAGGGTTCAAAAGTGGTCTGACCGGGAACGCCCCGGAAGTTCGACGATGACCGACTCTGGAGGGGCGGCGCACACGAGCACCTCGCAGTCATCGCCACGCTGTCCAAGACCTCCCCGCAGACAGCTCGGCCACGCACGACATCCTTGAGGTCAACTTGGACGAGGGTCGCTAGCGTGGCGCACGGAGCGGCGGCGGCGGCGGCGAGGACCCCGCCGCGAGGTGCTGCCCGTCGCCGGATCCGCGAGGCACACACATAAATACACACACAAATCACAGGATTCCCCCTATTTTCCTACATTTTCTAGGTTTTTGTCTTCCCCCCCCCCCCACTTCCCATATTTTCCCATATTTTCCGGGGGGATCGACGATTCATTGTGTCTGTGCGTTTTTCCCCTCCTGACTCTGGGGCGCACGCCGGCGGCCGCCGCCGGCGCCCGCGACGGCACAGGCGCAGAGACCCCGACCTCCGGCGGCGCGGCGGCGGCGTGGGGGCCGCCCGGCGGGCGGGGGGAGGCACAGGACTGCGAGGCGGGGACGGATCGACAGCCGCCGCCTGGGAAGCCGAGGTCCAGGGCCGAGCCGAAGCGGTGCTCCTCGGTCTCGTTTTGTTGGCTTCGCTGTCCCTCGTTCTGTCCTCCGTCCGCCACACTACCGCAACGCGAGCCGAAGCGGTGCTCCTCGGTCTCGTTTTTCGGCTTCGCTGTCCCTCGTTCTGTCCTCCGTCCGCCCCACTACCGCAGCGCGAGGTCGAAAGGGCAAGCGGCCCACGAAAGCGCCACAACACACCGCTTGGGTCCACCCCCGCCGAGGCCCTGCTGCCCCAGCGGGCGGTGGACACAGACACGTGATGGCTCCGGGGGGCCCAGAGATATACTCATACCCAGCGCCCGTGAAGGTCCACGTGGATCGACTCCCCAGGTGGGTCTGGATGCGCCCCCTCGGGCGGTGGACATAAACGAATTTTTCCCCCGGGGGGCCCCGATGTACCCATAGCCACCGCCCGTGAAGGTCCGCGAAGATCGACCCCCCAGGCGGTGGCTCTGGACGCATCCCCGCCTCGGAAGGCTGGGCTCAGGGCGCTCCAGGTTCGAGGCTTCCTGACCCCGTCGTCTCAGCCCTCGGCTGCTCTCTCCCCATCCGGCCCGGCGATGCCTCGCAGCGGCCGCCTCTAGGCCGAGAGCGCTCCGACGGGGGCGGGCCCAGCTCGCCCCGACCGAGCGCCGGAGGCGGGAGCCGTGCCCGGAGGACCAGACGACGAGGATCGCCGGGGAGGCAGGGCCCCCGCGGTGGGGGGGCGCGGGGTCCTCGGACCCCCTCCTGGATTTGGACGCCCGAAATGGGTACGGAAAGAATGGGAACAATGCCCAACAGCAACTGTTATCCCAAACCCACAGCGGCCGCTGTTGGGCAGGCGGCCTTCTGTCTCGAATGGACACAGGCCGCGGCGGCGTGGGCAGCGAGTCCTGTTCAAAATGAACAAGATCCGCTGTTGGGCATTGTACCAATTCTTTCCGTACCCATTTCGTTCGTGCAGACTTGAGGCGGGGGGGGGGAACTGCTCCATCGACGCCCGTGCCGCCGCCACCGCCCGCGCTGTGGCACGCGTTGACTCACGGGGGAGACACGTGCACCTCTCGTGGCCTTTTTGGGGGCCCCAGGGGGCACCTTCACGGTTCCCTGAATGCACCAGCAGCTCACCCTTCTTCACCCCCCCCCTTTATCGCACCCCCAGTACTCTGGATGCCCGACGCAGCCGTCGGCAGAGGCAGCCGGCGCGAGAAGAGCGGCTCCGTCGACGCCCATGCGCCGCGCGGCCGACGCCACGGGGCTCTCGCCAGAGCCGTCGCCCCCGTGCGGGTAGCCGCCGCCCGGGCCGAGCCCCTCGAACAGCGCCCCGCCCGACGAGCGGCTCGCCTTCCGCGGGGGAGGCGGCGGTTGGGGAGCCCTCCAAGGCGTCGGCGAGCACGACGACACGGCGCCGCCGCCGCCGCCGCCGTCGCCGTCGTCGTCGTCGTCGTCGTCGTCGCCGCCGCCGTCGCCGTCGTCGTCGTCGCCGCCGCCGTCGTCGTCGTCGTCGTCGTCGTTGCTTTCGTCGTCGTCGTCGTCGTCGTCGTCGTTGCTTTCGGCGTCGTCGTCGTCGGCCCGGCCCAGGCTCTCGAGGCGTGAGCGCCCATGCTGTCAGCAGTCCGTCCCGAGCCTGCGCGGGCCGCCTCGTGCTGGCGGCGCGCGCAGGAGGCTGCTTCTTCGAGGGCGCCGGGCCTACATCTATGGATTAGAGGAAAGAGAACTATGCACATACACCGATTCTGGCCAGGCACAGCCTGAGCTCAGGATCGGTGCATACGCCCTCTACCGTGGCCAGGAAGGTATATGCACCGATCCTGGGCCAAGGATGGGCCTTGCCAGGATCGGTGCATGTGTATAGTTCTCTTCGCCCGATAGATAATAGGGGAACAAAAAAGGGCATAAACATGAAAACTCGGAGGTCCGCGCGGATCTCTCGGAGAGGCGCTGGACCCCCCTCCCTGGCGCGCGGAGCGCGCCAGGGGCGGCGCCGCCGGGGGCCCCAACGCCGATCCGAGAAATCCGCGCGGACCTCCGAGTTTTTATGTTTATGCCACTTTTTGTTCCCCCAGATAAGGCCCGCGCCTTGTGAGAGGCAGCGGTGCGTCTATAGACGCCTGCCCCCCTGCCCCCCCCCCTCCTCTGCGCATGGCCGATCTCTCCTTGAAGGGCGCCCAGCGTCCCCCACTCCCCATCAAGAGGGAGCCGAGGCCAAAGCTGCACGCTGCAGCACCGTATCCCGGCGCAGAGCGAGGATCGCACTGGACACCGCGCCCACCTCTCCCATCCACGGCCGAGCGGACGACTGCCGGAAGTGACGGAGCGAGAGGAGCGGGCGGCGCCATGTACTACATGAGAGAAGCCCGCCACCGCAATCGGTTGGGAGGGGGGGGAAGCAGGAGGAGGAGGAGGAGCAGGAGGAGGAGGAGGAGGTCGAGAAGGAGGAAGGATGAGGAGGAGGAGGAGGAGGAGGAGGTCGAGAAGCAGGAGGAGGAGCAGGAGGAGCGGGAGGAGGAGGAGGAGGAGGTCGAGAAGGAGGAAGGAGGAGGAGGAGAAGGAGGAGGAGGAGGAGGAGGAGGAGGTCGAGAAGCAGGAGGAGGAGGAGGAGGAGGAGGAGGAGGAGGAAGATGGGGAGGGAGAGGCCAGAGGGCCCTGAGATCCGGGCTCGCGGATGGATGCCGTTGTCAGAGGAGGGGTCTAGGGGGGAGGGGGGGACAGTGGGTAACAGGGGGGGCGAGCATCGGGCTTTGGGAGGAGCGAGGAGGGGAGGGAGGAGGGAGGAGGGAGGAGGAGGGAGGGAGGAGGGAGGAGGGAGGCGGGAGGAAGGGAGGGAGGGAGGGAGGAGGGATCGGGCTTGGGGAGGAGGGAGGAGGGAGGAGGGAGGAGGGAGGAGGGAGGAGGGATCGGGCTTGGGGAGGAGGAGGGAGGAGGGAGGAAGGGAGGGAGGAAGGAGGGAGGAGAGGGGGGGGGGCTTGGGTGTAAGTGCACCACGCTGAAACAAGTCAGCGTACACTTGTGTCGCTTACGTTGTCTTGCTCAGTGTGTACTGCTTCTGCTGTTTTGTTTATTCTCTTTTTATAATAGTGCACTACGTAATGTGTACTCTTACGGTGTATGACTTATGGTGTATGGTTTATGTTGTTAGTCCTACTCTCCTGAACTCCCGGCCAAGAGCCGGACGCCTGATTTCACGAGAACGACAACGAAAACGGATCGTGATATTTGGCAGTGTGTTCCGTGAGTGCATGATGATGTATGTATCGTATGTATAGCTAATCTTGCGTGGCTTACTTGGTATGGCATAAGCAATATGGTTTAGATTGTATGGCTTGTGTTGTGCAGCTTTTATGTTTGGCTTACATAGTGCAGCGTGCTTCGCATCCTCTACTAGATGTCGACGGCTTACGTTGCGAAACTTATTTTGTATGGTTAATACTGTGTTGATTGTGTTGCGTGGCTGGGCTTTCATTCCATGCTTTGTATTTGCAAAACGATGCCGAGTATACCGACAAAGCCAAGCGAATTGAACACGACCAAACAATATACGCACACAAACACCTACAGTAAACTGAGCTGGTCGGGAGCGCTTGGAAAGTCTGCCATACAAAATAAACCATACGAAATGAACACTACAAGATCAGCCATACAAAAAAGGAATGCAGCATCTGACCAACAAGCGAAACCATAAACTACAGAACACAACATTGTTCTCGCTCGCTTGGACCCCGCGAGGCCAGCACCCAGCGCTGACTGGGTGCGCCTGGATAGTGAGCCATGTCACAAAAACAATGCATGCACAAATACAAAGCCATACCCGCAAGCAACAAGTGAAAATACAATGAATCAAATCATTACCGTTCGATTTGGATACCTATCGATCAGAACTCAGCGCTGACCAAGCGCGCTTGGAAAATGACACGTGCGAATGAATGCATCAGAAGACATGCCAAATAAAACGCAACACGTACGATAAACAAAATACACCGTACATCACGAACCGTGCTAGATGTAAACAAAACAGCGAATACGGAATAAGCCGTACTAGACGTACGCGAAATGAGCAACACGACATAGGCCATGCTAGATCAGCAATGCTATAAGCAATACTAAATTAGCAAGACTAAATTGAGCCATACGCATTTCAGACACGCCAACACAAACAGGAAATACATGAGCTGACCAGGTGCACCCAAAAAATAGGCCATAGAGCATACGCCATTCAACACAAAGCATACAACATACACCATATGAAATAAGCCATACAGCACAAGCAAAACAACAGACGCAGTGCAACAGAAACAATACAAAACAAACAATATAAGACACGTCATACAGCACAATAAGCAATACAACAGAAGCAATTCACAATCAGGGACACAATCGAAAAACATAGTAAATGACATGATTCTCGTTCGCTGTTGACCCTTCTCGATCGGCACTCGGCGCTGACCGGGGACGCTTGGAAAATATGCCATACAAAGGAACAAAACAACATGAACAATACAGAGTCACTGCGCTAGCGAAAACAAATAATAACTTGAATCGACCTGTGATATTTCGCGATGGACCCCTCTCTATCAACACACAGCGCTGGGCGCACATAATAAGGCTACACCTAAGCCACACATACTACAACAAAAACAAGAAGCTATACAAAAGAAGCCACACATAATAAGCAGTACCAGATGTAAGCGGGACAAGCAAGACTAATTTAACCATGCGAACTGTAAGGAACATAACCCGTACTAAATAAGCCGTACCAGACAAACAAGCAACACGACATAAGCAGTGCAAAATGGGCGAAACAACATTAACAATAAGAATCAGAGACGAAGATAGAAACATACAAAACAATGAGCTGACAGGGTGCGCCAGGAAAATACGCCATACAAAATAAGCCATGACAAAACTACGCAATACAGCACTAGCCGTACAACATAGGCCATATACAGTGATCAATACAACACGACAAAACAAAATCAGAGATGCAAACAAAACCATAACTTACAAGAAATAGAAGTATTACGTTTCGCTCTGAACCCCGCTCGATGAGCACTCTACTGACTGGGCGCGCTTGTAAAGTAAGCCATGCAACCAGGCAGTACAACATAAGCAAGTCAACATCAGACACACAAGCAAACACTGGAAACCATACATAACAATATTCCCTTTCACTTGCGACCCCGCTCGATCAGCGCTCAGTGCTGTCGGGTGTACTTGGAAAGTAGTCCATGCAAAATAAGCCATGCAAAATAAGGCACACAAACTGAGCCATACTAGATAATCCATAAAAGAAGCCATGCAACATGAACTCTGCAAAAACGGGGACGCACAATTAATCGCTTTTGTTTGAGCTTCGTAGGATGAGGCACCCGCTCGCGACCGGCTGCACGGAGGGAACCGAGCAAACAACGTACACCGTACAACATACTCCGCCATACAAACAAGTTGAGCAACACAAAAAGACAAGCCATAGAAGCGAAGCACGCCATGTACACAAAGTAAGCCAAACAAGAAAAGGAGGCCATACAAGCAAATAGAGCCATGCAAGCAAGGTAAGTAATAAGCTGCACTGTATGAAATACAATAAGGAATGCGAAGTAAGACATACTGGATGCTGCCAATAAGACATACTGCATATGCCATACATAATGCAAGCCAGCCAGGCCATACTGAGTACATACGACATAATGGGTAACGAATAACATATGAACAGCACTAGATAAGACACAATACGTGAGCAAAACTAAACAAACACAACCAATACTTACTGTGCACTGTACACTGTGTTTTGGTTCCGTGATTTCTACACTGTGCACATACGTGTTTGATGCCGTGCACTTTCGGTTTATCGTCGAGGGAAGGACGATGGAGGGAAGATACGGGTGAATGAGCCAGAGGGAGGAAGGGGAGAATATCCGGAGGATAATTTTGCCGCAACACCCCAACGCACTAGTGACTTCAAAAAGTCCCCAGGGTCAGCGCGGATGCGGGAAAACAATGAGGCGAACTAAGCCCGAAACGACCCGAAAGGGCCGTTGCGGAGGACGAGGAGGGGGAGGAGAGATGGCGAAAAAAAGTGAAAGAGAGAAAGAGAGAGAGAGAGAGAACGACATAGAGAGCAAGCAGATAGCGAAGCCGTTCCGCAATAGGTGCGCCAGTGAATGGTGCGAAGCTAACTGCTGTGGAATAGTGGAGAATCAGGCATCAGCGACAGCAGCAACGACGACGAAAGGGAAGGGATGACCATCAGGAGTAGGAGGAACGGCAGTAATGGAGGGAGGAACGGAAGATGAGGAGGCATAGGGAGAGCGATAGAGATAGAGAGAGAGAGTGAGAGAGAGAGAGAA